GCCACTCAGCTGGAGCATCTGGAAGATTCAATGCAGAACTGCTTGGTTTCATTATAAAAACAGAATTGTTATTTAAACCCACTGACCTAATGGGTGTGTGGGTTTGGTGATGTAAACATTTGGGTCCAAAAAAGCCTTTTATTTCCAAGTAGTAGAATTAAATGGTAAGAATCGATGTGAAATCTTGATTTCTCTGATGTTTCTGGAATAGCTTTGGGGTGCCTGGAGGAAAGAAGGCAGTGAGGCAGCTGGGCTGTGCCCACGTGGAAATCCTGCTTTCCCAACTTCCCAAGTACAGCCTGGCTGCCTCAAACCCTGCCAGCCCAGAGAGGGGCAGAGAAAAGCTGCTCAGCTTTTTGGCTCCAACAGCACTCCATAAAAAGCTCAACATCCTCTTTGTGCTCTAAAACTGCACTGTGGTTCCCCAGCCTAAATTAAACCGAGCCTAAAAAGGCTTCAGAAATAAGTGCACACAAACCCACCCCCCCCCCCCCCCCAAAAAAAAAAAAAACTAACAAAAAAACAAACAACCAGGCAGGAAATTTCAAGCTGTTTTCCAGGTCCCACTCACCAGGAATAGGACTCGGAGCAAATAGCATGTGCCAAAAAGAACGCAATAAAAGGTGTGTTTGTGCTTGAGCATGAGACATCCCCACCTGCCCTCCTGGTTTTGCAGGGACATGGGCTCCATGCTGGTGCTCCCAAGGAGCTGGTGACCCCCCTGCTGCCATCCCTGACCCGAGGAATTTCACTTCTTCCTGTGAGGAACCGAGGGCACTGGGAATATTTCTGTGTCTGCTCTGGGGTGCCCTGACCCCCAGGGCAGCACTGACTTTGACCCTCATTCATGGAGAAAGCTTCCTGGACTTCAAGATAGACTGGAACCCACAAAAGTGTGAAATAGATTACAGAGAGCAGTGTAGGTGTATCACTGGGTGAGAAATTGAGGTTTTGGGATTTTTAGCGTGTTGTGGATGGCAGCAAGATGGAGGGCACAGGGTGTGGGCCTGGGTTTCTTATTCATGCTGCTTCTTCCTGCTTCTCCATGGGTTTGGGTGGCATTTTGTAATTGGGCAGAAAAGTCCCCATTGCAGCTCTTTGGGATCAGTTATTGGGTTAAAAGGGAAAATAATCCAGGTATCAGTTCTTAACTGAATAGTTTAGTCTGAAAAGACCTTGTACCAAGAGATTGTTGGCCATTTTGTGCCTTTTAATGAAAAGCTGCTGAACTCACATTAGTGAGACTGTTTAATTGATAAGAAATAATAAACACCTGAGTGTGAACATGAACTACTGTCTCAGGTGCCTTCAATCCAGCCCCAGGAAAACCAACAACTGGTACCCCAGCAACTGGGACCCCCCACATTCCTGGTTCCTCCTGGTGGCCACAGGGGGACCCTGACTGCAGGACCAGCATGGCCTGTGGTGCTCAGCTATGAATCCAGAGCTTGTGTGAGCAGTCAGAGACCCCAAACTTATGTATTTCTATAGGAGATCCACCACATTCCCCAGAAAAGCAGTACTCAGTGGGAAGTGGTGCCTGCTAGAAAGCATGCAGCAGCACAGATGCTTTTTGGCAAGCACATTTCTGGGCATGCACTTCCTCAGCAGGTGAACTGTTAATTAAACTACCCTTAATGACTGGTAACCAACACATAAATGCATTCCTATACATAGATATTGCTCCAAATCCCAGTCATAATACTCAGTCTGAGGTAATGAATTACCCCACAGTAGCCATGTGATTTTTCTGTGAATTATTCTGTGTTTGAGGAGGCAGCTTTAGCATATAATTGTGGTGAATTAGGCTTGGTGAGGGATTACAGCAACTGCAGAATCTCTTTGTTGGGCTGAGCATGAGATCCAGCTCCTCTAAGAGATGCTTTAATGTGCCAAGATCAATACTACAGGGGCAGAACTTAGAATAGATGGGCCATGAGGGCCAAGTTCTGCTGGTAAATCAGTCTGGTAATGACATGCCACTGATGTCACAGCTGGCACTGGCACTCTGAAGGGTAGAGCTGCCAGAGGTGTGGCAGCCAGAGGAGCAGAGATGGAGTCCAAGGAGTAGCAGTGACCTCTGAAGAGCCAACTCAGAGACAGACATTTGGTTTAGGGATATGGACTCTACTCTCCAGCCTGACTGACAATCAGTCATCCAGAAAGGGAACGAGGGGATGAGTGTGTCCCTTGAAATCTTTAAACAATTCAAAAAAACCCATCCCACAAAACCTTCATTTTGACATCTGCCACAGGGCCAAGATTCCTTTATTTGCACTGCTTTTGACAGTCTCTAAACTGTGTATGGTACCACATTGTGAGCAGTAACTAAGCCAAAGTACTCCTGGTTAATGAATGGCAACTAGTGACTGAAACTAACTGGCCACGAGCCACATACAGATTAAAATTATACCTCTCCTAGTTTAACAGATGTAACCAGACATTGCTGTGGGGTTTTTCCTTTCAAATTAGGAAGTGCCAGTTCTTTCTAGACAAGCAACTTTGGTCAAGTTAAGTTTTTAGGGTACTAACTGGTGCACAGCACCAACACAATACCTCAAGAACCATTTAAAAGCTTTCCTTTGCTCCTCTCCTGTGAAAATCCTCAACAATGAGCCGCAAGCTTGCAGAGCACCACGGAATGGTAAACCTGCTTATCAGGCCGCTTTCTAGGATACACAGAACTCACGGTCATATCCTTGAGCTAGACTAAAACCCTGCTCCAGGATCTAGACACATGCTCTTTTTCTCCTGAAGTTTCACAGTTATTTCGTCATGGGAGGTAGTTTCCCATGTAACTGAAATTTTGTGTTTTGTTGTGCTGTGTCCGAAACTGGAACTTGAAAAATTAGGGGGATGCTTATGTAAAAGATTTGTTGTAAAAAAGGGAGGAAACCTTTCCATTTAAGAGTAATCCAAGCCCCTATTTACTGTAAAAGTCACAACAGTGTAAGATAGACAGGCAGTAACACCCTGTACTCCTGACACTCTGGAAAGGAAAACTTGTCCAACACTTGTCAACAGACTTTCTTAAAATGTGCACAAGAAGACACAAAGACAAATTATATAAAAAGGTTCCCATTTATTCAAGGTATGACAAGGATATTTACAGTATTCATTTGCTCAGAATAAGATCCATCCTTATGAGTTTTAAAGCAGCAATTATAAATTACATTTAAAAGGGGAAACATTCCAAGCATGTTTCTGTTAGAGATATTTTTACAAGGACAGAAACACTTTAAGGCTAAGTTGTTTTGACCTTTGCTGCCACCCACATTTATCTTGGCAAAACCATCTCAAAACCAACGTTACCTTGAGGGATAGACTTTGCTAAATTCAACACACAATTCTGTTCCCTCAGATGCTTTCCACAACAGTGGAAAGCATGTGACAAAAAATTGACTTGATTTAAAACAATGAATTAAATATAACTGAGATGACCTGCCTACACCCCAGCTTCTCAGAGGCAAAAGATCATCCACAGCCACACATGAACCACTTCTAAAAGACATCATCATCATTTCTTGTTGATGAAGGTACTTCAGCTTACCAAGCAAGTTGCTGCAGCCAGAGATCCACAGTCCTGTGGTGCAATCCACCTTTTCCATCGCATTATTTTTCAAGACAGAAGCACAAAAACCTTCAGGTAGCTGATTTCTAAGGTGAGCACTGTCTGCTTGAGACAGCACTTTGTTCCCACAGCACAGCCTAGTGCCCTACCACAGCAAACAGGAGCTGGCTAAGCTGCTGGAGTGTTATTCTCTAGTCATTGGAACACACCACAGAGCTATAGAAGCAGTTAAAATTGGGTTATCTAAAATGCTTTATCTCTTGAGGTAGAGCCAACAATTGTATTCACTCCTGTTTCTAAACTGTAATGCACATGCCATCAAGAAAATATAGCAATTTATAAAATAAACCCACTGATTTTTCAGATGTTATTAATAGCAAAATAACAGGTTGGGTTTTCTTTCTGAATAATTTTGTGCCTGTTTTAGAAGGAAGCAAATTAAATATTGATAATAGCAGATTGTGGCTATTTATACAGTTGTAGTGAAAAAACCCCTTGTTTTATACAAATAAACTCCACAGCAACTTTCAAAAGGGTTGGTATACGAGGATTTTTTAAAGTTAAAACTAACATTAGAAAACTCCAATTTTAACTGCATAATAATAATAAAAAAAACCAAAACAAAAAACACACCCCCAGTCATTAGATCTTTAGGCTACATAGCTACCTTTAATACTACATTGGGTAATTGTTTCAGGAGTACATGAAAGGGAAAAGAAAATGAAACAGAACAGAACCCCCTGCCTGCACAAACACAATTCACTGAACAAGGATTGGTAGGTGAGGACACTGTAACTGAGACTATTGCAAGTGCACAACGTTTAACACCCCAACAGGAGCAGAAATGGGACCTGTGCATTAGGAGGGGACATTTATTCCAGGTTAGCCAAGAATCCTCAGTAACAGCAAAGCTGCTGCTGTAACCAGGAGCTGTCTGAAGATAACCAGCTAACCAGTAACATGTTACAAACACATGGAGATTGGCACTTGATCTGTAGTCAGCCCCAGTCACTCAGCAGTTTTCTCCCCACAGACTCACGTACACAGAGCTTTAAGTTTCCATTTTATTACCGTAAAAAATAAAAGTCAATTCGTAGTTCCAGAGTAAACAAAGAAAGCTTAGTTTCAAACTGGTTAAAAACAAAGCTCCAGGTTCTGGTAAGTTACAGGTCACAGGGTTCACATCAGCACCTCAGCCTAATGCAGTTTTTTGTGAACTAAGAGTTTTTCACAGAGTTTGCACATTAGTGACAAGGGGCTACATTCTCATCAGGATGCACATGGAACACGGCTCAAGGAGAACAACCTGGAAGGCCTGCAAGTCAGCTTCCAGAGTTCCTCAATGAGCTCTGCATGTTCAGAACCAACATTTAAGACCAAAGTTATTAAAGATTGACCTTTTGCATATTCCGAAATGGAAGGCAAATACAATCAACTAACGTTTGGCTTTGAAACATTAAGATAACAATGCTGTATTTCAGCCACCTATTTACAAAAATGTTTACAACAGAACTGTGTAGGGTTTCCTTTTTATTGTCATAATACACTTGTAGATGAATAGTCATCTTAACCTTCATGCAAAGACGCATCTCTTGTTACACAAGAAGTTTCCTGTTTGATTTTTTTGCACTCTGAGGATAGCAAGCAGAGGGTTGGGTAAGTTTGGGTCACCCTTAAAAATGTAGGCCTGTTTGCTCTACTGCACCTTCAAAATAAGGAGGTAAAGAACAGGCACCGTTAATTCCACAAGGGTTCATTGCCTCTAGCATGTTTTCCAAAACCAACAAAAATAGTCTTGAACAGTTGTAACAGGGGTTATTCCATGACTTCCCCTCTTCAGTTTACTTCTCGAACTCTGGAGTTACTTTTCTAGAAGCACACTTGCTGAGCTTCTTTTCTAAAGTATACTGTTGACTATACATTTTAAATTAAACTGTTATGTAAAGAATGTAACAAGCTTTTTCCTTTGTACACAACTTAATCTTTGTGCTGAGTATTCTTCAAAGGGATTTTATAAATAATACAGTAAAAGTTTAGATCAGTCTTCCACCCTCTCGTCATTATACCATGTTGTTGCTTTCTCCAACTTTATCTACAAGCTGTGGAAAAGGAGACAAAAAGATTTTAGGTTGATGACATTTATGTAGAGTGAAGCTGCTCTCAAATACTGCTTGCTACTTGCACAGTTAGTATGTGACTGGAAATGAGAGTCAAGTAGTACTCACCGAGCTCTCATGGTTTAGGTTTGTGAAAACCAAAATTCTTACAATTGCAATTGTGTTTCTGCATAACATGTTTTTCTCATATAGACATTAACAGTGCAGCATGAAGATGCAACAGAATGAGAAAGGAAATAGAAGAATGCAGATAACACTCCCAGCTTAATGGTTAAAACAAAACAATACAGTCTCAGCCACACATGCATTAGTAGACCAAGGAAGATATTTCAACTGACCATTACTGTGGATTCTCTTCTGAGCCTACGTAGGCTTTGAATAAAACATTAACAATTATCTTTTAAAAACAAGATTTAACCCCGTTATGATCAAATTAAATATGATTAGGATCAATTGACAGATGAAACATTCAATTGATCATGAATGATGAGCCACAACTTGGCCTAACTGTGAGACTGGAACAGATGATCTGGAACACTCATTTTTAAAAAACAGCCTGTATGCATCTAAGTTATTCCCACTATTAAGTTTCAGCACTAGCTATTAAAACTGTTGCTTTCAAAACTAGTATTACAAATGCTTGTGTTAAAATACATAAATAATTTAGCACAGTAAAAGCAGTTGACTGAAACACCCTAGTTTAGCATCCTTCTGTTGTCTTCAAATCCTCAGCCATTTGGTTTAAAAATGGAAAAGTCAATTTGAAAAAAACACAAATCTATAGTAATAAACAGATGTGGCCTGGTGCAGTGGACCTCAATAAATATATCTGATGAATAACTGTGCAAGCTGAGAGTTTCTGGGTTCACCATACGAGCTGCAACATAACATTGAACTCCACTCTTTGCTTTTAGAGGCCACTTTTCCTAAGTTCAGCCAAATACTGCACCAAGTACGGTGCCCTCCTCGTTGTACAACAGGAGAGGAGGAGGATTCACCTGTCTGGTCAGCCAGGGCCAAGAGGGAAGCAGAGGAACCCCAGCATTCCCTCACAATGCAGGACTCTTCCCACTCCACTGCCCACGAGCAGGGGCAGCTCCTGCCAATGCCTCTTTTTGTCCTTTTACCCCTAGGAGTGTCTGCCTGGGAATGAGTGGGATGTGCATGGTGCAAGAACAGTGCAGGAATGCATTTGAAGTCATTGCTCCAAAGTTCTATTTGCTTTATTTTTGATGCATTTCTACAGGTGCTATATTAGTGGAATGAAAACCAGAACATGCTGCAGTTGTTGCATGAAGTACCAAACTTACCGAGCTTATACCAGGTAAATTCAAGAGATACCCAAGAACTGGAACTCTTCTAATAAAGCCAACCACCACAGGAAAGAACCCCCTTCAGGTAAAACATCAGAAGATTGTATTAGTTTTTGTAATTAAGCTTTCCTCATATTGCTGTAACATGAAAACAAATTAATTTAAACAATTTTTAAACCAAGATTACATAAAACCTTGCAGCTTGTTAGCAGCACACTTGTTTAGCAAATATATCAGTACACATTCATCAGAGTAAAGAGAAAACCAGGAATGAAATGGTGTATTTTTAAATGGATTTAATTTTCTTCATAGCTGGCAACTCTCAGTCAACTCATCAAAAAATAACTCAAGTGAGAATACCTAATTTAGTCAGCGAAATGGATTTCTCAAAATTAGCATACATATTTTGAGATAATTCCTCTTTATGTTATAGAAAATACATTCAAGACCCAATGTAGAAACAAGTGAAGTTAGTTCTCAGTAATTAAAGCCATGTATGATACTCTTACTCTTACATTAATAAAAGAAAATGAAGCATGACAGAGTTGTGCATTCATTTATTTCCCAAACTGAAGTCAGTGGTTTGAATGGTGACCTTGGGAATCTTCCCTGGCACAGATGCTCTGGTGCAGCCCCTGCACTCTCCACCTAACCTCTGCAGCAGAAAAGCAAATTTTCTGTGGCAGCATCTCAGCTGTCTGCAGGCAGCTGCTGGCATTCCCAGCAATCCTGTGCTCAGCATTCCCTGCATGGAATAAGGATTAATGTGCAATGAGGCCTCAGCCACAGTGAAACTGTGAAATTTCACAAGTCATCATCCTCTTCACCACCCTGCTAAGAACTATTTGCTGGGTAATATCCACCAATAAGGGGGGTTTGGAGTTTTGGTGTGTGGTTTTTTTGTTTGTTTGTTTGTTTTGTTGTTGTTGGTTTTTTTTTTGTTTTGGTTTTTTTTTTAAGACCAGATAATTCCATTTCAGCAGCCCAGTAAATTGTGAGGCAGGGCACACAAATCACTTGTAACAGATTAAAACAACTGCTGTGTCCAAGAATAAGGAACAGTCAGTACAGCAGGGATAATATTGTCAGCCATAACTCTGCAGGGCTGTCATCTGAACAAGGCTCCAAAAGCACCTTAGATTACAACAGCTGTCCCATAATAGCAGGGCAGTTTTCTGCTATGCAGCCAAGCAGCAGGACCCTGAGGAACAGTAGAAAATGGTGCTTGAGGAAAGACCTCATTTGTAAGATTTTCAGAAGGGAGCAAGTTGCTGACAAGAGGAGGATGGTTGAACGGAACAAGGCTGAAGCAAAACAAAAAGCTTTGCTTGAAGTAATTGCTAGTCAGCCTTGTAGCAAGGGATTTAGATTCTATCAACTAATGAGTGCTAGAAAAGATGGTCACAGAATCATGGAATCAAGGTTGGAAAAGACATTTAAGATCATTCACGCCAAACCACTGGTTTCCAAATGCTTTAAATTAAAACAGATCAGCTAAACATTAATATCTGGAATTGTCCATCCCTTGTTGATTCCCTTCAGGCTAAGGGACAGTCCTGGGGATAATTATTGATCTTTTATAAGCCTCTTAACAGTGTTTTACCTTGCAACACCACTAGATAATCCATAACCACACCTGCCTAGACAGACTAACTTATAACTCTTTTGAGATCTTTTAAAGGAGGGTGTTCTGTTGGAAACACATTCTATTTGCTTTGTACTGGCTGATTAAATCAAGCAAGAAGTGACAGTGTATTCAGTGGAATACTGAGATTATCACAGCACTTACAGTGACAGGATTCAGAGTAACACAGAGCAGAACAATAAGACATACATTAAACCCACTAAATTAATTTTCTGAAATTTCACTGTCTCCAGTGTTCAGACTGACTTTTAAAATAAACATTTTATCTGAACTAAATATCAGATTAACATACAATTTTACTGGCTACAAAAAGAACTCCATGAGAACAATGGTTTCACTTTGATTAACAGGAACAGTGTTATTCAGCCATTCACAGAACACTTCAGGGTCTGAAACTTGATCAATAACCATTAGTGGAACAATCTGCATCTGGAGAGAGGTCCAAGAACAACCAGAAGCCTCTCTTTCTACTTTTTTGCATATTTTTTGCTTTGTTCTGTAGGGAAGCATAGAACTTCAACCATGGAAATAAAGATAAAAATATAGATATCTATGCAGGTTGTAACAAGTAAAATTCTTTCACTATTACAGTAACATTTATGAAGAACTTAATTGACACATTGTGAAAGTTATAACATGTTTCAAGATTGCTGTTAAAAAAAATAGAATTTCCATTTTTCCTTAACTCAGTCTAGATACTGCTAACCCAAACAAGCAGTTCTGACTCCAAGGCACAATTGTAATGAAATATGGCAGAAAACAGCTTTTCCCTGGGCTGCCAAAGTGATGAAATGGTAAGGTTACAAACCTAGGATGGTTGTATCTAAATATTTTGCCCCATTTGTCAAAGAAAATAACAAATTCCCTACTGAAATTACGACCAAGTATCCCTTTTTCATGAGGAGATATTGAAACTTCATACTGCTAACAATTTGGGCTCCCACACATTTTGAAGCTTTACAATTCTTTGGTTAGACATCAGCATTATGAAAGTCACTTTAGTAAATGCCTCACCAACATTAACAGCTTTGAGTCTTGGAAAAATACTTACCAACTTGTAAATAAACAATTTCATATAAAATCTGTTGAAAAGGAACATTTAAAGGAGGCTGCTTTGTCAACTCTAACACAAACACTACACAATACATTTATTCCTAGATAAACTAACACAAAGTTGTTTTCAAACAAGACTTACCTGAACAATAGGAAGAACCCATAAATTTCCAGGATCATTCCTACTAAAGGCCAGCCAATGAGAACTATGAGCACACCACCCAGGAAGAAGCCCGTTGCTTTCATTTTGTGTTTTTGAAAGAAGAATCTGAATGTTCTTTCTAAACCGATAACAAAAGACAAGCCAGCCACAAATAAAACCTAGAAAAGACAAAACCAAACCAAAGAAAGAAAACAACTAATTATGTTCCCAAGTACAGGATGTAAACACACACATACATATTTTATAAAATTACACTGCCTTTCTTGCACAACTTCTGTTAATACCACGAGACAGTTGGTGAGAATGAATTTATTACTGATTTTCTTTTATAAGGTCCATCTTAAACACTTGCAGCTCTCAGCTGCTTGAAAGTAAAGGGTCTATCCTTTTAACATACCCAAGACAGAGGATCTGCCCTGTCACAGCTTTACCCACAGGTGGTGCTGAAGCTCAGTCCTACTGACAGCAAAGGCTCCTAAAAACTGACACCACACATAACAGCACCTCTGCTCTGTGCCACTGACATCTTCAACCGCTTCTGCTGATCTACTCACAGTGCCAAGCCAGAGAAGGAAAAAGCTGAACAGTTGTTTTTTACTGTGCAGAGTCTTTTTATTGTTTATTTATTTGTTCCACTATAGACTGAACACCATCACACCAGTCTCAAGTAGTTAGAACTACTTCTGGCGTCCTGAAGCAAAAGAACTTGGAATTATTATAACAACATTTTTGCTCAGAAAGCAATAGTATCTCAGGTTTTACTCATGATTGTTTTACTAAAGTTTAAGTTTTGGATGTCAATTTCTTAGAACTTCCTGCCCTTTCTGATATAAGTTTTTTTTTTTTTTAAAAACAATTCTCTGCAAGGATACAGTACCTTTTCTTGCATTATCTTTGGTTACCACATAGCCTGTCATTGTCTCTTCCTACCTACATTTTCATTTTCCCTAAACAGGATCTCGTATTTCCACCTTACATTAGAAAAAGAAAATAAGCATTATTTCATTTTTCACTCTCCCACTGCACACTTGATCTGATGGTTCATAACAATGCTTCAACAAATTCAGATACACAATTTTATATTTCCCTGGGAAATCTCAGTGTTAGAGAAGGAAACTGATCAGTTTGGTTGCAGACTTTTAGGCATCAGCAAAAGAAGGGCTGAACCTCTCCCAGCCAGGCTGTGCTTTGGCTGGCACAGCTGAGAACAGCAGAGGCACAGAGACTGGCACATGCAGGAAACACCCTGGCATTTGATATTTGGATTGGAAATGTCCTGTACCAGAACTAGGACTTATTTTCTGTGCTGCTTTGAGTGACAACTTTGATTTGGTAAAAGCTGCAGATATTGAATCTCTCTTTTATGAAGGAGGTCTGGCTCTTCTAATGCGAGAAGTGCCAGCAATTCATATTTCTTTCTTTCCTCCTACAGCACTGCAAAACTACATTTGCTAGCATGTACTTAAAGATTTTTATCCAAATAGATAGTCAAATTGACAGTGATCTCAGAGGACCACAAAAAAATCACATTTGCAGCAGCATAACTGTGGAACAAGCTGCTTCTTGTCTACCAACATCCCACAGGCCTGACCCACGGTGATATTCACATCAGTGTGAGCTCTTCTAACCTCAAGCAGCAAAAATGATTCACTCCTATCACTGAGCACTCCTCTTTTATACCAGATCACCACAGTAATCTTTGTCATTCAGCTTCAAACTGATAACATGATGTTCTATTTTGAGTTTATCTTTAATAGATCACATACTTGATTCTAAGCACTGCAGAAAAGTCACTTACATTTCCAATAGCCAAAAGAGCTTTGTCAAAGAAGAGTATCATTCCAAAGAAGAGGAAAAACACTCCAAAGCCTGTTAGTCCCATTCCAATCTCTGAAAAAGAAACAAATTTAGGCATGTAACAAAACATGGTACCAAGAAAAGGTCAGGGATAAAAACTGGGGAAAAAATTAGAACAACCACTCTAAAGACATTTTAAATTTAGGAACTTCCTTGACTGTACAAATATTATAAATCTTGTAGACCCCAGTTACTTCAACAGACAGATCTTTGGAAGCTGTTTATCAACAAAGGCCATGTTTGGAACTAGACACTGAAATTGAATGCATACATACATACATATAGGAAAGACATATATCCCTTTTGATTAATTGCTATCTTGGAGAACAGGATTGTTTGTAAATTAAAGGATTGTTTGATAATGAAACTTTGTTTTCCAGATTAGATCAGTTGGTCAGAACATGGTACAAATAACTCCAGGGTCGGCGTTTGATTCCCATATGGGTCATTCACTGAAGGGGTGGATCCTTGTGATTCTTCTCTTTTAATTCAGAATACTCTGGGATCTGCAGATCTTATCCCATTATTTTTCCCATAGTAATGTAAGTACCCTGGTCCTCTCCATGCTCCTGAAACATCATGTTCCATCTCCCATGACTTGCACAGCATTTTCTAGATGGAACAGAACTTGGATGAATCCTGCAGGATTTTTCCGAGTAGCACATGTGCTGACAGCTATCAAACCCTAGCCTGGGGCTCCAGACAACTGCCAGTTTTCACAAAACTGGCAGGTACTAAATATTGAGGGATTAATGTTCAATTATAATTTCCATGCTTCATATTTAATTTTTATTAATTAAATGGTAGATTTACATTACACATAGGTACAATATCACTAGACTGCTAGTGCTGTATAGCAGTTCCATTTTACGAAATTTTTCATTTTATTATCTTAACTTGCAGATTTTTCTAAAAATACCTTTTGTACTTAATTTATTTGCTTAAATTATGGACTGGCCAGTGCTGGGTTAACAGCTGGACTCAATGCTCTTAAAGGTTTTTTTCCAGTATAAACAGTTCTATAAACTTTGAGTTCTGCAAAGGATACTCAAGGAAAACTGGGAAGCCAAGAGTAGGATGGAAGGTTTGTAGGAGAAACAAACATCAAGCAAGGATTAAAACTACCATTTCACAATAGTATCTTGAAGACTGCTATTAGAAATACATCCTGCTTTTAATTTTAAATCTCTAAAGCCTTCCTTTGACTCTCACACAGATGAATGGGAGAGAAAAACCAGGAACAGCAGCAACAGGGCTGCAAACACATGCATTTATTATTTTTTTCACTGGGACCAGACACAGTAACTGACAGGTTTGTAAACTGCAAAACAAAAACAGCTTAGCAAAAGCCATCCTAATACTATGCCTGTATATATGCCTGTGTATTTTGAAGTTCCAAGTAGTTTTGCATAGCCTGTCCTGAAACAAAGAAAAACCACAAAATCCACAATCACATCCCTCACTGCTGCTGTGGGCCAGATCTGCCTCCATGGATTTTAACTGCACTCTGTTGATGCAGTTGGTCATTTGCTGTTGCTTGATGAGCTTGGGAGTAACGGAGGATAATTATGCCTGTTTTAGGACTTCTAAGTAGTTATTGGAAATAAATTTCAACACAGCTCAGATTGGTTACAGCAACATTCCACTCCCCAGACTTCTCTGAGGGCTTGGCTTTAACAAGGCTGTGAGAGCTGTAGTTGTGTGGCATAGCCTGCTGCTTTAAACTTTCACTGTGAGCATTTTAACACCCCACAATTAAAAGCACTAAGTAACTCGATCCAATCAATTTACTACAGGCACTCTCCGTACTGGTTTACAACAAAAAACAGAATTGCAAATTGTATTTTCAATGGATCTGCTGACTGAAGGCAATGTAACAATTGCAAGTGCCCTTTTCTCCAGTACTCTTTACTTCAGAAGATCAGAAACAATCTGCATTCTGGAAGGAAAACACTTCGAGGCAGGATTCCAGAGGAATTACCAGCTGCCAGCAAGATAAATAAGCAGTCCCGGAAGTGAGTATTTGCTCCTCCTCAGGCACAGCTCAAGGTGTGGATGTGGGCAGGAGGCAGAGCCACCTTCCAGCAGCTGCGGCAATTCCCTCTCTCACACCTCTGCAACCACCCCAAACCGGTTTGGAAGCACTTCTGCCACAACGGGCTCTGATTCACTGCACAAGTCACCCATGTGCTCTGGTTAGTGGAGGAAAAGGGAAAAAGAGAAAGGAACATTATTCTCATTATCCCAAAATAGCTGCTGGAAGAAGATGAATGGTCCAGGACTATTATCCTCCAATGCTGACATCTCAGTTACTGCCTTGATTTGGATCAGAATTTGTAAATATATTTAACTACACTTCTCAGAGGAAGGAAAAGAAAAAGTGTTGGTATTTTGTAGAAAATCCTTTCAACAACTTACGATGAATATTTATAGAGGGAGCAAACTATTTTAAAATGGTTTCTCCTGTGCCAGAAGAGCTTTCCCACGTTAGTCAAATACAACATATCAATGCCTAGAAATGCAGCAACACACACTGGTCAGGTTGTATTTATCCTGGATAATTATGATTTCCTGAGACAAGGGAGCAAATCATCATCAGTTTCTTCAGAAATTCCATAAGCTGTGCAAGACTACTGCAGCACGGTGTAAAAACAGCTCAGCAGATTTTAAGATTCAAACTTAAGATACATTGCTTGTGAAAGATTACGGCAGATAATATACATCTCAAGTCTTTTACAGAGCATAATATAGTGCAAAATAAAATGTAATTGTGTGCTATAGGCTTTTAGAAGACAAAACCTAATATTGCTTATATTCAATGCATAACTATTATTTTGCTAGCAGTATTTTTTAGTATTGAAAATTAAATTTGGGAAAACCTAAGTGAATTCCCTTGCAATTACTGGTGGTTTATAACACCATTCAACGCACCACTTAAAATTACCTTCTAGACTGCAGATGCAGAATTAACTTTCCAAACATCAGCAGTGGTTCTCTCCAGGTATTTTTCACACTATTCCACCAGTGACTCTATGGCTAACTCTATATTTTTCCAGACAGCAGTGAATTTTAAAATATCCAATGAACTATCTTCAGAATTTCAGAAAAACTGAAAAAAAACCCACCCTGAAAACCACTAAATGTCAGAGTGTTTTATTTAGTACTCCTGTCTCTGACAGTTACAACCAACAGTCTTAGCACTGGAAATAGCTGAAGGTCCCACACGAGGAACCAAGCAAAATAAAAACAGTGAGTCTCCTTCTGAAGAGATTTTTATCTTTTTGCCCAATGAATACTCCAGACTGGAAGTTAAGAGCAAAAGCAAAGCCCACAAGGGTTTCATCAATCAGAAAGGTAAAAGTTAACCCCAAGGCTTGGTACTCATCCCAGTAACAGCACAGTATCTGAGTATCTCAGATATTGAGACACTTAGCACCTGAATGCTGCTAAACTCTGCTCCCTGTCTTCATCCTTAGCCTTAACTGGCTCTCCAGTACCTTCATTTCCACTATCTTGCTATAAAGTTATTTTAACTTCTATTTTCTAGATTTTTCACACCCTCCTTCATAACTGATGCTGTGGTGCTTTACAGGCAGACTCATTTCCTTCTGTGGCAGTCATACCAGAATTGCACCATACATGGGATGGTCATTTAAATCACAGGCCTGTCATGGTCCTTCACCCTGCAGCTTAAGCTGTTATCAGGGAATCACAATGGTTAGGGTGGAAGGATCCTCTGGAGATCGCCCAGCCCAACCCCCCTGCCAAGGCAGGGCCACCTGCCACAAGTGACAAAGGAATGTGTCCAAGTGGCTGCAGAAAGGGAGATCCAGCCCCTCCCTGGGCAGCTGTTCCAGGCCTCTGCCACCTTCAGTGCAAGGAAGTGATGGCTCACATAGAGATTAAACTCCTTGTGCTTCATTCACTTCATGGCCATTGCTCCTTGTTCTACCACTGGCACCACTGAAAAGCCTGGCCCCGCTCTCTTGTCACCCATCTGGGATATTTACATGCAGAAATGGGATTCCCTCTCAGTCTTTTCCAAAATAAACAGGCCCAGCTCCCAGTCCTTTCTCTTTACAGATGCTCCAGAGCCCTCATCATTCCCGTGACTCCTTTCAGCAGCTCCCTGTCCCTGCTGTACCGGGAGCCCAGCAGTGCACGGAGCCCTGGGTGTGCCCTGGGGCAGAGCAGGGGGCAGGATGGCCCCTGAGCTGCCAGCCCTGCAGGTGTGCCCTGGCTGGGGTAGTTCAGAGGGGCAGGATGGCCCCTGAGCTCCTGGACACAGTCCAGAGCACCCCGGACACCACTGGTGCTCCTGGCTAAGGACACACTTAGGAACTGCTTTACTTTCATTTCTTTGGTCACTATTTCCAAGCACTTTGGTAGAAACAAAACTATGGCCACATACAAATATTTTTGCTTTTTTCCACTTCAATGTCGTGGCCTCACTTTGAGGCCGCCTCAGTGTCACCTGCAGACGTCTGGTGCGGTACCACCAAGAGCAGCACAGCAAAGCTCTTTACTGTTTGGGTAATTAAGTGGTTCCAGACCACTGACGTCCAGAGGGAGGCACACGAGAAGAGCGTAGCTGAGTGTTACTTTGTTTATCGTTCAGCTTTCATTCATTCTCTCACAGTGCTCAGCCGAAGTGCCACGGGCACAAACCCACAAACCCAACAAACCCTAACAAACCCAGGCTGGGTAACAGGAAGAAATGTTCTCCTGTAACGCTAGCCAGGCACCGGCACAGGGTGCCCAGAGCAGCTGTGGCTGCCCCTGGATCCTTGGGAGCGCTCCCGGCCAGGCTGGACGGGCCCTGAGTAGTGCAAGGTGTCCCTGCCATGGCTGAGATGATCTTTAGGGTCCCCTCCGGCCCCTCCGCACGGCAGCACGGCACACCGAGCACTCGCAGCCCCGGACACACGCCGGCCGTGCTGGCAGAGCTCTCCCAAGGCCGGGGTCCCTCCGAGCGCTGCCCCGCCGCTCTCCACCCCCTTCCCACCCGTGCTCCCCGCCAGCCGCCGCTCCCTCCGCACCGGGGCCGCCGCCGCGCCTTTCGCTGCGGGGATGCGGCCGTGAGAGCTCCCCCGCCGGTGTCCAGCGGCCCGGCCGGACCGTGCCCGGCCGCTCCCGGGAAGCCCCGCCGCGGACAATGGCTGCGGGCCCGGCCGCCCTGGGAACCCCCGGCCCCCGGCGCCCCCAGCCCGGCAGCGGGCGGCCCCTCTGCGCTTCCCCGGCGGGAGCGGCGGCAGCGCTTACTCTGCGTGTCGGACAGGGAGATCATGGTGACGGCGGCACCGGGAGCGGCTCCGGGAGCGGCACGGGCGGGAGCGGCACCGGCGGCGGCGGCCACGTCTTCCGGAAACACGCACCCCGCCGCATGAGAGCCGCGCGCCCATTGGTCGCACCGGCCGCCAATCAGTAGCCGCCTTGTACGGCCGCGCGGGCGCACCGCCCCGCCCACGGCCCGCGATCGGCGCTGATTGGCGGAGAGGCGGAGATCGCGCCGGGCCCCGTGCGCCAGTGGCTGAGGGCGCGCGGCGGAAGGGGCGGGGCGGGGCCGGGCCGGCGCGCGCCGCAGGTGGGAGCGGGGCCGCGGGGCGGGAGCCGCGAGGGATCAGGGATGAGGGATAAGAGATAAGGGATAAGAGATAAGGGATGAAAGCTAAAGGATGCGGCACCAGCCCTCGGGGCAGCTGTGCGAGCTGTCGGCCCGAGCCACGGCTGAGCCCAACGCACGGGAGGACACGGCTGCGAGGCGCTGCTCCTGCTCGCCCTGGCGGCCTCGGTCCCTTCCTCCGTCCGTCCGTCCATGGATCCATCCAGCCCCGTCCGCCGCCCCACCGAGCAGGGGCATCCACCCCGGCCGTGCCCGCGGCGGGCGTGTGGGCGTGGGATGCAGGGAATGCCGCACTGTACACGCTCACTGTGGATATTTGAATGCCATTCACACTGTCATAGTCCCACACTGTGAATACCCACACGAGCAGCGTGCCCAGGAGGTGGGGGAGTCGCCGCCCCTGGAGGTGGTTAAGAGGCGTCTGGGTCTCGCCCTGGGTGATGCGGAAGTGTTTTATTCACACATCATTTGTATTATATATTTCCTCCTCTATTTATAGGAGCAGGGAAGGTGCTTGTTATGGTGGAATCAGCTGGTAGTGAGGAATTTTTCCCCCAGTATTTATTGTAATGCTGAATTTAATCCCTTTCATCTTCCATTAGACTTTGATATTTTCTGTTACTGCATCATGAACTATTCTTTCCATCTATGTAATAAATCTCTTTAGTCTGGTGTTATTAAGGTACAATGTGACAAAAACTGTTGTTCAAATAATGACCCAATGAATTAAATTCCACGGTAATTTCACTGATGATTATTCAAAGTTGAACCCCTCCTCTAAACCAAACAGCATTTTCACTTCCTCCTAACAGATCCTCTGGGTGTTATGGTGGCTGCCTTTCTAAGGGGCACAATATAATGTGTCCAGGCTTTTCTGTAAAATAAGCTTTGAAGAGATCAAAATTGGTGAGTGACTGGTCCACCTTAGAGCATTGCTCTTGCAGGAAATGTATGACTTGGTTAAACTTCACTTGGGTTCATTTAGAGGCCTGGTGAGCTGTGGCCTTGGGAATTGGTTGGGAGTTTGTGTTTATCCATTTTGCAGAAGGGAAAAAGCAATTGTCACCTAGTGGAGCTTCTTTATGTGAGCAAATTAAATTAACCAGTGCTTAAACTGTTACACCCACAGCTCTGGTAATGAAGAATCTCCTGCAGTAAATTTGTTCTAAAGTTGAGAAGGTTTACTTATAAAATGAAATAAATACATGTTAAAATATATTTTCTTTTTAGTGACAGCTGTTTGGCTAAATAAGATCTCCTAAAGATAACATTCTTTAATCTCCGAAGATGAGAGCTGTTGCAGGTGATCCATAATTTATATTACATATGTTCATTTAGGTAACAAGACACAAACACTTCATGTTACTGATTGTTATTTACAATAATCTATACATAAAACATTTTGCGGGATCTCTGCTATTATACTTAAGATTTGAAGAAAAAAAATCTTTTACTGGATAGCTTTTTATTTCTTAGGTGAAACTAAACCAAAATGCCCCATCCCTGGAAGTGTTAAAGGCATGGTTGGATGGGGCTCTGAGCAACCTGCTCCAGTGGCAGGGGAGTTGGAATGAGATAAGCTTTAAGGTCCCTTCCAACCCAAGCTATTGTAGGATGAAAATCAAGAGTGTCAAGGAAATTACTTGGTTTTCAATATTTTTAAAATGTGTTTCAAATTTTGAGATACTCTTTACTGTTTTCTGCTGAGTACCAGTGGGCATTTAGGAAGATACTTATCACCATTTTGTGCTATTTGAAATGAAGATATTTTTTCCCTATCACACATTTTCGTTTCCATAACCTTATTACCATATCTGCTCTGGATGGGCCAAAATCTCTTGGGTTTTGTGGGTGTGGGGGGGGAAGTAATTGCTTCTGATGTTTTTCTGACCTGGCTCTGGAGCACATGCTTGGCATGCAGCTGTATGTGTTAATTATTCTTTTAGACGCCAAGGACTGGATTCTAGAACACAATCTGCAATTCACACACATCATATTGGGATGGAAAGAGGCAATTCCTGCCAAAGAGTCATTTGTGTGACCCAAGCTTTTGGGGAGCATTTGCTTCACTTCTTTCATGTGTGAAGGACGGATAAAACATTTTCCCTCTACATCCAAACCCTGTTGCTCAGCACATCCTTTTCTTCTGTGGAGGAGGGAGATCTCGGTACATGAACACAGCTTGTTGCTAATGGCCCTCTTTACAACTCCAAAAGAGTTAAACTTACTGGGGTTAATGTTGCTTCTCACATGTAAATAAAGACTTTCTATTAACAGCTTGATCCTTGCCTTGAGTACAATTAACACAATTAGAAGTGGCATCAGCTCATGGCTGTGGTCTCTATTGTGCCTTCTCCTTGCCTCTGCCTGCAGTGCTAGAGGAGGTGTGGTGTCCATTGAGAATGAGCTGCAAGCAGTGCAGATGCAGATCCAGGAGCTTGTGGATAAGAAGCAGGAGCTCCTTCGAAAGAAAATGAGAGTAAAGAATCTGATAAAACATACCTCAGGAGACTTGGAGGCAGGTGGAAGTAAAGACACTGAAACCTCAGCTGAGGAATGAAACAAAAAAGGTTTGCAGAATCAAAGTCTAATCTTTTAACAGAAAGGTGAACTAATCCATTAGGGGAAAATGCACTTATACAGAGTTTTGTTTGGATAATGATATTGTCTCATTTAATTTTAATCATCTGGCTGACATGCCAGGGTAATGTTTGTACTTGTCTCACTGGACATTCCTAAACGTTAATCTTGAGTTGTTCTGGGCAGAATTATCTGTACTGTCAAAATGTCCTATTATAAATGCTTAAACCCTTTGCTTTCTGCAAAGTCACAATTTGATCTGTTTTGCTCTTAGAATCCCAGGGTAAATTTTTATTGCATTATATACAAATTTTTATTGTATACAAAATGCTTACATAGCAATACTTATGCTTGTTTGTGTTATAAAACAAACTGCTTTGCAATTTCTCAGGATTTGATAATGACGAATTTGGACTGAAGAGTTGCTTTTGCTGGTTTGGTGTTTCCTCTTGCTTGAGTGGGTCGGAAATTGATAGTGTTTGTGATAGTTATGTAGACTCACTGGTTTACCAAATTAATGCAGATTAGATAGGTACTAACTGCCAAAAACAACCTAGAATGCATTTTAGAATTAGTGCAAGCGGCAAGTGCCTCATGTGATGGGAGGGCTGCTGTGTTTCACATTAGATATTACCTGAAGTCCTGAATGGCTATTGCTTCTTGGCCATGTTATGCCTTCCCACATTTCATTCAGATTTTTTTTTCTCCTTTTTAATTTATTTTCAATTTGTAAATGCCTATACCTATCATATATATAAAGTTTTTTGTGTTTTTTTTTCCAAATGAAATTATTCTTGTAGTTGAATCCATATTTATCTGTATTTGAGGAGTATTACGCATATGTAAGAATGCTGATACTGTATCATTGCAAATAATGCTATTGAATAAATAATTTGCTTTGTGTAGTTCCATGCCTGATTTTAACCTCCTGTGCTTTGAAAATTAATGTCTTCGCAATCAGATGCTGTGTGTGTATTGAACAAGAGCACCAGCTAAATTTGTTCCCACTTTCAAGCTCGTGGAAGCCAGTGAGAGACTTCTCTTGGCTTCACAGAGCCTTGGATTTTAACTGTGCTCTTTGTAAATTTCTCAGCAATTACACCTCAAATCCCACAATAAATTCTTGCCTTCTACATGGTGTAACCTGGAGCTCCCAGAGTTTTCCTGCATTTCAATTTTTGTGGTACTAAACCAGATGCATCAGGAAGCATAATTTAAGTTTTGACACAGTTAGATCTTTTAAAAATGCAGTATTTAGGTCCATCTTGAAAAAAAGAAAAACCTATTATAAGAGTGTTGGGGTGGTGACTTTCGGGAAAAAGAAACAACTTTTCCCTCTATTTATTTCATACATTCTTATTGCTGATGGAATACATGAAAACCTTATATGCCTCCTTTATACAATTTGTAATTGCTGCATTTCTATGACGGAAGCATTTAAGTAACTACTTAATTAACTGGCTCAATGTCCGGTTTTATTTGTTTTCATGGTGGGATCCTCATTCCTACTTATTTTGGACTAATGAGTTAACATGCTGATTACCAATTTGAAATTCACCAGTTTTCAATTTTTCACATTACTTCACGTCCATTTGCAATGAGAGGTTTGGCCTGAAGGTGAATTCTGTGTATAACTTGAGTTTTCCAAGGTCCACACCAGAATATGGATTATCCGGACGCAGCTTGAGCAGAGCTTTTTCTGTGCCGTTTGAATACTTGACCTTTCCCAGATCAAAAATCATATGTGACTACGAGATTCAGTTATTCAATATGTAAATTACTCCTTCTTCTTGTATTTTAATTTGCTTATGAAAGGTGTTTGTTGAGTTGGGATCTTTTTCACTTACAACCAATGCTGAAGGCTGGCTCTTGCCGAGCCGATCCACTCTTGAGCTCGAAGAGGCCGCTCCTGCGGCTCGCTCTTTCCTCGCTGTCCCACGGCTTCTGCAAACGTCGACGAGGACGCAATCAGGCCCGAGGAGCTCCAGCGGCCCAAGGGAACCGCCACCCAACAGCCCCGCAGCCAGATCCTCACGCCAGCACCCCCGCGGCCCCCCAAAAGCCTCCGACTTCAGCTTGACTCACCGTCGCGACGTCCGGCGCAGTCCCACGCCGTGCTGGGAGCCGGGCCCTCTGGGCAAAGGAAG